ATGAAGAGCATGAAGAGTTTGAATATATAGTTTTTATATGTGTTCAAACAATTTTTATTAATGTATTATTTGTTTTATATGAATGCAAATGATTTTTACGTAGTGCGTGTATATATTGTATTGATAATAATGTTGATTTATTGATTGGTAACTCTTTTAAAATAGATAGAGTGCCACCCCGAGCTGACAAGGGTAAGGCTAAGGAGACCCAACCCTGTTCGAGAGCTAGAGTACGTGAGGTACCTCTCTCGCCCATGTATGCTTCTCGTCCACAGACTCAGGCAGATCTAATATTTGTAGACACTTCACAGCCATTTACGACATTACTCTCCTCCCCCCAAACGGTTCCATCGGGGAATCCATCTTTTATTAGTCCATTTGGGGGATCCTTCATGCATCCGCTTGGAGGATCTAATTTTCCTCAGGTGCCATCTTCGTTCACGCAACAACTTAGGGGATCTAGTTTTCCTGGGGGATCTAGTTTTCTTCCTCAGCATTATTCCTTCACACAGCAGCCTGGAGGATCTAGTTTTCCTCAGCAGACTTCCTTCGCACAACCTGGGGGATCTGGTTTTCCTCAACAGTATTCCTTCACGCCGCAGCCTGTAGGATCTAGTTTTCCTCAGCAGACTCCATCCACGCACCAGCCAGGGGGATCTGGATCTCGCATTCCACACCCCACACATATATCTGCGCGTCAGGAGCAGGATGACCACCCTATTCAGGAGGATGACGGTGTTCATGAGGAGTAGGCAAATCCTATTGCAGGGGAGATTTTGGTGGTTGAAGGATGACATCTTATTAGGCCTGAGGGATCTGCGTATGTTTTTAATTTATAATATTTATTTAACTATATATTTTCATTTTATGTTTAATACTCATTCACATTATTGTTGTTTAGTTTTGATCTGTGTCGGCCTGCTGCAAAAGCTGTAAACTGAGTCATTCAATTGATGTATACAAAACTCATTAAGTCTTTCGGAGAGCTCCCAAATACCGAGAAAGATATATGGTTTGATAAATTCAAGGTAAATTATATTTTTATTATAGTTATGTTATTTTAAAATTATTTTTTGTTATATAAATATCTAACATTTTATTTGACTGTCATATAACTTTCAGGAAAGGTGTACTTGGCAAAAATTTGACGAGGTCAAAAAACTTTTTTTTTTAGAAGTAAGGTATCTAGCAGATTATCTGACATGCTCAGGAATGCTAGATAATGTTGGGAAAGAGATAAAACTCGTCATAACTGGATAGGCGAGGAAATATTTGGGGGAACTTATTGAGTGGTGGAAGACAAAATATTTTCAGAGAAGATCTGAACATGCAAAAAAGATGAGGACATCTGAAGCAGGTGGTTGTCTGAGTACAGTTGGAAGTATCAGTATCGGCGAACATCGTCGACGAATGGTAATTATAAATATTTTTTTAAGTTCTATTTTGTATTATTATATATTTAATTAAACTTAATTATTTTAATTAGAAAAAGGATTTGGGGAGGGAGCCACGAATTAATGAGCTATTTGTGAAGACCTGAACCAAAAAATCGTGGGAGTTTGTTGGAGGCCGTTCCAAATCAACCTTGGTAACTTGTTTATAGTTGAATTATTTTATTTCAATATTATTGTATATAACTAAATTGTTTAAACTATATTTATTTTAATTTAATTTTTTGTATGTGTGTGTAGGAGTTGTACCAGACCTTACTTGCCCAATTTCTAATTGAAAATCCTCAGTATATGCCGATTGGGAATGCACCGCTTGATCCACGCGTGGATCTTTATATTTGGAATTTAATAGTAGGCGGGAAGGGAGTCAATGGGTGTTTTTTGGTCTTGGGTCTTTGGCTGGTGATTATAGAAAAGGGGACCGAACTTTATTTCAAAGACTCGATGATGGGGAAGGAGGATCTCGTCCGACAAAATTGACACCAGAAATATTGGCAACAGTGAGAGAGTTAGTTCTATCTGAGGCGAGACGAGAGGCGGAGGCACGTGAGGCGACCCTAAAAGCCGAAATGAAGAATATGAGAAATAGGCAAAATGCTGAAATGGAGGAAATTAGGAAGCGACAATCCGAAATGGAGGCACAAATGCGACATTTTTTTGCCTCACAATCGAATTATTTTGTCTAAGATGATGAAGAAGACGAAGATACTATATTTAGTAGTGACGATGAATAACCTTTTTTATTATTATTATTTATGTTTCTGACGTGAATATTACGTGACAATTTTTTTTTATGTTTGTGACGTGAATATAATGTGACTAAATATTTATATCTTTTAATAATTGTATATATTAAAAAAATTAAAAATTTTAATTGAAAATCATTTAATTTTTTTATTTTATTATTTATTAATTCGTTGTATTAATTAATATTTAATTTTTTTAATTATTAAATTAAATAGTGAAGTGAAAACAAAGTCACTAAACTTAAAACATATTTTTGTTTGTGGCATGGAAACCATGTCACTAATTAGTGACATGGAAATCACGTGGGAACACGCTTTAGGTACTTTGAGAAAAGTGATTTCCCACGTGAAATTCACGTCACTAATTAGTGACGTAATTTTCACGTGGAACCTTTTTCAATTAATTTGGTGGTCTGTGGCGTGAATTCCATGTCACAAATTAGTGACGTGAATTTCACGTGGAAAAATATTCCGACGTGCTCTACCCACGTCACAAATTTTGTTTAGTAACGTGGTTTTAAGCTTAGTAACGTGAATGTCATGTGGGAAATTGCAATATTTCTTATAGTGATAATATAAAAAAATAATAACATAAAAATATATTATGTTCCAACGTGGATGCTCTAATAAAAATAAAATTTAAAAATAAAATAAAACATAAAAAATAATATAAAAAATAAAATATATATTATGTTCTAATAAAACTACAACATAAAAAAATAATAATAAAACATATATATTTTATTTTTAATAAATATATCTTATGTATTTAGTTAAAATAATAAAATATAATATTACTTCCCCTTTTTTATTATGTTTTATATTCTTTTTTAATGTTCCGTTTTAAAAGAATATATAAATAAAATTAAAAATTAAAAATTAAAACTTTTTAAATACTATATTTTCGTTTTAATTAAATTATTATACTATATAGTAAAATATATATAAATAAATTATACTATATTTTCGTTTTAAAAAATAATATAAATTATTTATAATTCTATTTTAATAAAAAAATACTATATTTTTCGTTTTGAATAAATATATTAAATGATTTCGTTTTACAACATATACATATTAATAACATATTTTACAACAAAAAAATATAATATTTAAACAACAACCAACAACCCAATTAATATATCAAACTAAAAAAAAATTAAAATAACAAAAATATCTCTTCTTCAATCTCCTTCAATCTTTTTGTTCAAATAACTTCTTCAATCATCTTGGTCAATTCCTCTTTCTACCCAATTTAATATCTTGACAAAAAAAAATTAAATATAAATTAAAGTCAAAAAATCTTATACATTAAACAAAGTTATTTAAAAAATAGAAGAAAAATCATAGAAGAAACTTACCTTTGAAATAAAAAGAAATTAGAAATGAGTAGAAACAAAGAAAGAGAAAAAATATTAGACGAAGAAGATGAGTATAAGATGAAGAAGATTGGTATGGATTGAGGATGAGTAGAGAGAGAGAAAGAGAAAAAATATTAAGCGTGGTCTGAAAAAAGAGGTAACACGTGCCTTTGTATAATCCAGTTAGCGACATGAATTTCACGTCGCAACGTGATATTCATGTCGCAACACCTAACGTTTAAATTTTAAAAATCAATGATAAAAAGGTAGCGACGTACTAATCACGTTGCAACTTTGTCACGTGATATTCACGTCGCAAATGTTCCAACGATCATAACATTTTTGTCAGTCAACTTGCACCTCCAGTACCCCATCACTTCACTGTTAGATTGTTTTTCCCTCTTAAACTGTTGTGACGTGATATTCACGTCACAATCAAAATTTTAAAATTTCCCTCTTCAGTAGGCCTGACCCTTTTAATTTTTTTTTTTAATTTAAATGTTGCGACGTGATTTCATACCACAATTTTTTTTAAAATAAAAAAAACTAACACACCATATACTAACGTTATATTTATTATTTTAATATTTAAAAAATTATTGACGTGATAAACACTTCGTAACTGTTATATTTTGTCATATATCTTTTCACTTCACTAAATAATGTGGTTGGTGACAATATTTCTTGTATTGATTATTATATGAATAGCTATTTCCTGGCCATTAATAATGGAATCAAGGACATTCAATTAAATTTATATAACTATATTTAAAGACGACTTTATTAGTAAACTAAAACCCCACATCTTTGTCTCCTAAGTCAGAAACTTATTTATCATTAGGAAAATAATTGCAACTTACACATGCACTCACTTCAATGGAATATTAGACAGGTTGATACAGAGAAGCTATAATTTTTTTATATTATTTTTAATAATTTAAAAATTATTATTTGTTCTCTATTTCTTTTTTCCAAATGCTAAATGCCACTTTGACATCTAATATCCAACATGTATATTCATTCTAAAAATAAAGCTCACCTAGCTGTTTTTCTTTTTCATGTATATAGAAGATAAAACAAATTAGAGTTTCTTTTCTCTCTCTATCTCTCTTTCTTTTAATTTAACATTAGCAACTTTACATAAAAAAAAGAAAAACAAAGAGTGATATATATTGAAGCTGATGTATAGAAATATATAGATTCAAACATCTCTTCTTCTTTCCCTCACTCTACTCTCTCCTCTAAAATAATATTCACTTTTTAATAGAACAATATTTTCAAGATTAATTTGTGCATCCTCTAAAATTTTGAAGAACATGATTTTGATAGTTTCTTTCCAAATATGCACCTAGAGAGAGAGAGAGAAACAATAGCAATGAGCAATCTTCTTTTGTGATATAGGTATTGAAGAAAGATTAATAGAATTTTTGGCTTGCAATGATATGGCTTTCTTTCCATCAAATTTCATGCTTCAAACTTCTCATCAAGATGACCATCATCAACCTCCACCTTCACTCAACTCAATTATAACCTCATGTGCACCTCAAGATTATCATGGTACTCTCTCTCTCTTTCTCTCTATAACACTCACATAAAATCAACCTAGTGTAATCTCAGTTTTAATTAACGGTCGCAGCCGCTTCAGAGTTCTTAATAGTTTAGAGAATTACAATCAAATACAACTGATGCAACTTCAATCAATTGTGTTGTTTAACATTAAAAACTATTATGCCCTGGCCCAGATCTCGGTGGCAGACCTTTATTTATGGTATTACTATTAAGTTAATATATAACATGTTTTAAATGTTGTTGTTGTAGGAGGAGGAGTATCCTTTTTAGGAAAGAGATCTATGTCATTTTCCGGGATAGAGCTCGGAGAAGAAGCAAATGTCGAAGAAGAATTATCGGACGACGGATCGCAATTAGGGGAGAAGAAGAGAAGGCTTAACATGGAACAAGTGAAGACACTCGAGAAAAGCTTTGAGTTAGGAAACAAGCTTGAACCTGAGAGGAAAATGCAGCTTGCAAGGGCTCTTGGACTTCAACCAAGACAAATTGCTATATGGTTTCAAAACAGAAGAGCTAGGTGGAAGACAAAACAGTTGGAGAAAGACTATGATGTTCTTAAAAGACAATATGATTCTGTTAAGGCTGATAATGATGCACTTCAAGCTCAGAACCAGAAACTTCAGTCAGAGGTTTGTGTTGTAAATTCTCTTCTTAATTAATTACTCATGATGATATAATATTTTCTTAACGAATCCAAACGATGAGAACTGAATCTCAACCAATAGATATTTATGATTTGATGATGGCTTAAATGATTTGTTTTCTTTTATGTAAACTTTTTTTAAAGTAGGTTCGTATATTAGAAAAGGAGATAATTAAAAACATATATAAAATCATATATAATTAATGTTTGTGTTTTGATTTTCAATTAATACCATGATTAAAAAATAGGAATAAAGAGATGTTAAATTTGTGCTATATTAGATAAGATGTGATTGTTTTGATTCTGTAAATAAAGCTTGAAATCTTGATTGAGCATCAATTTTCTGAGAAACCATCTGTTACCGCGAAAGCGAATGTGATAAAACTGTACGAAAGAGCTGATATTAATACGTTATTCACTATGAATAAGAAATTGTGGTTAATTTAAAAATAAATAAAAAAGACCGTAATCAATATCAGTATCTACCGAAATCGCAAAACTCCTTATGGGCCTGATAGATATTTAAAACATTGATGAAGTAGCATTACTTTTTTTTTAAATGTAAAAGAAATTTCAATATTTCAGATCACCTTTATTTTTTCTTTCATCAATTTCAGCAGAGTAACAACTTTTTCCAAAAGCTGCTTCTCTCTCTCTCTCTCTCTCATTACACAGATACTTACTGTCCATCAATGACATGTTTCTCTTGCATGGTTTCCTCACTTTATACAAAAAAACTAAAATCGTGTGATTCATCATCTTTAACTTTAAACTCCAAGCAGAAAAAAAGCTTTTTTACCTTATCACTTACTAATTTTACCGTTTTCCAATGTTTTGCAGATATTGGCACTGAAAAATAGAGAACCAACAGAATCAATCAACCTAAACAAAGAAACAGAAGGATCAAGCAGCAACAGAAGTGAAAACAGTTCAGAAATCAAGTTGGATATTTCAACAAGGACGACACAAACAGCTATTGATAGTCCTTTATCCACTCAACAACAAACAAGCATAAACCTCTTTCCATCTTCTTCTAGACCAACACTAGTTCCTCATCAACTCTTTCAAACCAGTTCCACAAGACAAGACATTAATCAGTGCCAAAAGATTGATCACATGGTTAAAGAAGAGAGTTTGAGTAACATGTTTTCCGCCATTGATGATCAATCTGGTTTATGGCCATGGTTGGAGCAACAACACTTCAATTGATCAACTAAAGAGAGTGTGAATTGATTATCTTACTCAGCGCATTTTCAGATAAGCGACGACTTTAGCATAATTGCGGTATGTCATAGTGATTTTGACAAAAATTACGCTATGAACTTTTAATAAAATCAAGGTGTCACTGTAATTTTGTCGAATTTACTGTCGATTTAATGAGTTGCGAAAGTTTTAAACTTTGTTTTGATGAACTTGATGTATAAAATAGGATATATATCAAGCATAATTTTTCAAGTTGAAGGTGAAATATATATATTTTTTTCTAGTCTAGTAGTTGGACTAGTGAAATGTTAGCAGGTTTCAATCTACGCTCCTAAGGTCTAATATCTCGCAATACTATCGATTGAGCTGGCTTTACGGGACTTGGGATATTTTATATAAAAGAATAGAAGGGTAATATTTTTTTATGCATTTGATTGATTATAATGTGACATGATACGTTGAAAATTTGATAGTTATGGATGATGGAGAAAATTTACAATAAAATATGAAATAGTACTAGATGGTGTCTGATTGCATGCAATTATATAATGGCCCACAAAAATAAAGAGAGATTCTCTTGTTACATAGTTTTTTAAAATTCAATAATTGTTGCTTGCTTTTGAATCAAAACAATTGTACTATTATTAGAGGAAATATTTTAGCCTAGTGGTAAAGAATTAGCTAATAAAAGAAAGAGGTAGAATGTAAAGAATATTTTATGGTGATATCAACATCATGAATAGGCTGAAAGGCTGAAGAAAATCCAGTGGAAATTGACAAAAGTGTGGATAAAAAAGGGGAAAAGGAATCAAGCTCGGATTTCAAGAGAGGGAAAAAGACAAGGAGATGGAGAAAAAAATGTTGGAATGAAACAAAGAGAGTTGGAAATGGTCATATTCTCGTGAATGAGACGTTGTCGAATAATTTCTTGTTTCATGACAAACAAAGGAGCGGGGAAATGGATCAGTTTAATCTTTGATTCACTGTTTTCATGTGAAGTCACTTGTCATCTGCTTTGTTTCATGTCTTTACCATCTAGAGTTTGTTTTTCCTTTAAGTGGGAAATATAGAAATTGGATCACCAGTGTGAATTGATTGATCAAGAATTTTTTGGACATATGTTTCATCAAGATTAAAGGTTTGATGAAGGGGATAAAAATTAAGTCTTACTCGCTCTGATTCTAATACATAAAAAATTGTTTTTTAAAATATATTATACAATCAATATATTCCATCTACATATATTTCATTAAGATATATGTATTATTTAATATATTTAAAAATTGAATTTTTTTCTTAAAATTAAGATCGGAGGGGGAGTCCTATCTATTATTGATAATAAGATTTTATTTTTTTAATTTCAAAGTTGGTTGATAATTTAAATAATAATTTTTAGCAGTTCTTGTTTTTTTATTCAAATGATTATCTATATTTTTGAAATACAATAAGAGAAAGTTTGTTGATTTTATATTTGTGAAATACAATAAGATGAGAGTTTGTTCATGTGTTTGATTGATTTTGTATGTTGGATTTTGTAGAATTAGTGACGAAATTTCCAAACCCCATAGACAAGAATATACTTAGAAGACCTCTTCATCGGATAGTTGGAAGAAGAACGGCCTCTCCTACCTTTTCTATGAATTTGTGAGAGTAAGGGGAGAACAATTCTTCCTCCACTATAAAGGGACAATTTCAAGTGATGCAATAAGTTGAAGTTGGTTTGTAATGCATATATTTAGGGGGAGTTTTCATGAAAATATAAAACACTTCGTCTTAAATTTTACCATCATTAAAAAAAAGAGTATGCGAGTACATCTATCTATTAGATGTATTTTGCATGATGTCAAAACTAAGATATTGTAGCGCTTATGTATATTAGACGGTATCCTCTGAGTCTTGACCTACTTCTTAGCATTAGGAAGCAAAAAAACTTTTTGAAAATCATTTAGAAAAGATTCATGCATTTAAAAATGATTTAGAAAAGGTGTCATACATTAAAAGCAAGTATTTTGTGAAAACAACATTATGTGTCGACACATACATGCCATAGGTCGACACATGTGGCTCATTTTTAAAGCCTGTTTTATATGCTGACTGCATAGGTTGGCACATGACCTTTACAGGTCGAAATATATGATTTTTAGGTCGGCACATGTACTGCACTTTTAAAGCATTTTTTATTTGCTGAATAGGTTGACGCATGACCTTTACAAGGTCGACACATAGATTTTCAGGTCGGCACATGTACTGCATTTTTAAAGCTTGTAGGCTTTGTTAGATGTGCAGCCTCTATAGGTCGACACATAACATGCACAGGTCAACACATGGCCTTTACAGGTCGAGACATGCATCAAAAATCTTAAAATTTTTGCATTGTTTTTCAAACCTATTGTATTCCTTTTTACTTCTAACTTGCACGCACATATATACTTCATACATGCATCATTTCTTTTTAATGATTTTGGTAAAATTGTAAAAGAAACATGGAACATACAAAAAGTCATCTTCATCTTCAACCTTGATTTTATGCATACACACAAACAAAGTACACATAATCATTCATTGATAAGGTCCAATTTAGCTTGTTGTATTGTAAATTGGATTAAGATCTTTGGGGGGTTTCAAGTAAGAAAACCAAGGTGGGGTTTTCCTTCAAGATCAAAGTGGAGATTTGAAGGTTTTGGACAAGATTGCTCAAGTTGGATTCGATTGAGTGAAGGTTTTGAAGAGCTGCAGTTCTTGCAAAGGAGTGGCATGAGACAGTGGATCATCTTGGTAAATCTTGAGTTACAACAGTTCATAATTTGGATTCGATCGAGTGAAAGCTTTGAAGAATGGAAGGTTCTTGCAAAGGAGTAGCGTGAGACGGTGGATCATAATGGTATTGTTTGGTTACAATAATTCGTAATTTGCGTTTGATCGATTGAAGGCTTTGAAGAGTTGTGGTTCTTGCAAAGGAGTACCGTGAGACGGTGAATAAAATTGGAATTAAAAGGTTACTTGATCCAGTTTGATCAAGGGGAGAGACTAAGTCAAAATCAATATCAAACTTAGGATTTGTAAGGTTGGATTTCTATATTTCTTTTGTATATGCAGTTTACAAAGTAAGGTTAATTTCATTTTCTTAATTAGAATTTGAATTAAGGACAGACATACCGATAGCGAGGCCGATTAGGGAATTGCCTAAACAAATCCTTTTGTACTCTCACTATCTCTTTTACATTTCATTTGCAAATTGTTGAGTTCGTCGATTGTGTGATCAATATGTTTGGTTAATTCTTTTGAAAACCATTTAAAAAATATTTTGTTAAGTTGATCGCAGTCCTTTAGATTATGGTTGGATTTCAAGATCAACAAAATTATATAACTTTCCAAACAAAATTAATAGCGCATAAGGTGTTCGATAATTTGTATCAATAGTATTTTTTATGATTTAACATTGGAAATAGTCTATACTTTTAGCATAACATTTAATTGGTTGTGGTTGATTGATTGTTGATCTAATTTGTGTACATTATCATTGATTGGTTTTCATATACACGTATCCAAGCTTTTTAATAGCGGGTCGGTTTAGACAAATTGATCCAAGTTACTTCCACTAGCCATTATTTTTTTAAAAATTTTTAGTAAAGCAAAACTTTTTGAGGATCTATTCACGCTCCCTCTAGATAAGTCGCATTCATCTTACAAGTGGTATTTTATCCTGGTTAATTTCATACTTTAAATATTAGTTTATTAGAAAATGGCTACTGAACCTAAAGGGGTGTACAATAGAGCATATATTTTTACCGGTGAAAACTATGACTATTGGAAAGCTTGTATGCGTATCCATATCAAATCGGTTGATAAGGGTGTGTGGGACGTCATCATCAATGATCTTAATCAAATTACAACAATCAATGGTGAAGGTGTCATCGTACCAAAATAGGAAGCACAATAGGATGATAATGATAAGAAATTATGGTCACGTGATTGGAAGCCACAAAATATTCTTACATCCACACTTGGGGTTGATGAATATTATCGTGTCTCTCATTGTGAGACCACCATAGCTATATAGGATCAATACCATAAATCAAGAGTTTGAAGTATTTTGCATGAAACATGGTGAAATCATTGCAAACATGCAAAAGAGATTCACCACCATACTTGAAATATTTTCTTTGTGTATAAGCATGTGTGGTTGTTGTATATCTACTCTGGCATGAAGTATGTTTGAATATGCTATAATGTTGACAAAATTATTGTTGTGTGTTATTGATATGATGTCATTTCTGGCACATGTGTGTGCAACATTCGGGAGTACCAAAAGTATATGTCACATAAATGTGTCTCTTTTGAAGCAACTCAAGAGTTTTTATTGCATTGTATCCTTAATCTTTCATGTTTAGTATTTGTTATTTGACATGATTTGTGGCAACTATGTTATATTGTTGCTTTAAGTGCTCTTATTTTTGTTGAAGAATTTTCAAGATTTACATCATTCTATGTGAGTGTTGTTTAATTAATGACTTTATCTTTGCAAACACCTCTGTGTGTTTTAATGTTATATGTGTGATATAAGATACTTATCATTGTGTGCTTGGTCTCTTTTTGACATTCTCAAAGGGGGATAAGTGCTGGAAGAAGGTGAAGTTAGGTTGGGATGCATATATTCAGATGGAGCCTTCATGAAGACACGAAACGCATCGTCTTAAGTTTTTCTATCATAAAAAAGGGGGAGTATGTGAGTGCATCTTTCCGTTAAATGTATTTTGCTTGATGTCAAAACTAAGATATTTTAGCATTTATGTATATTAGACGGTATCCTCTGAGTCTTGATGTGCATCTTAACATTAGGAAGCATAAACAAAATTTGGGAATCATTTAGAAAAGGTACATGCATTTGAAAATGATTTAGAAAAGGTGTCATGCATTAAAACAAGTTTTTTTTTTTGTGAAAAACAATATTATGTATTGACCCATACATTCCATAGGTCAACACATGTGGCTAATTTTAAAGCTTG